TTGGATAGCAGCAAATTAGCTTGACTCTTTACAGCTACAAGGGACTAAAGCAGAAGAGGTTGATAGCCATACAGACAGATGAAAACGAAGTGATTCCGTAAGTTTTCCTTTTTCTTTTTGAGGCACGGTACCCTGCAAAAATTAAAAAAACATCCATAACTGTTCTATGATAACGTGTACAAGGGATTCCCATAAGATTATTATCCAAGTGATGGGGATGAAAGTTTTGGAAGAACGATGGCGGAAACTGCGCCGGTATTGTTTCCAACAATTCCTCGGAGTACTCTCCATGATTAAGACGATTTCGAATTTCAAATTCTATATTCATCTTTTGAATGGATTATGGTTCTTCAGCAATAGCTGAAACAAGTCAGTCCGAGCTCTTTAACCGTCATTTTTTCACATACATACTAAAATAACTATTGCCCGCGGTTTCGTTCGCGTATTTTTTTTTTTATTCCTTAAAAAGACAACTCCCGCACTAGGAATAAATCCTGTGTCGCGGGGGACTTTACAAACATACATGAAACGGACACAAAGTACACCCAGACTCAGAACAACAATTTGTGGATCACACAAAGTGTTATCCCATGTGGGGTTTGAACCCACAACACTCGGCGCAATAGAAAGCGGCGTGGCGACCGCTTAAACCACTACGCCATCCGTGCAGTCGATTATGTCTTATTTCGTGTTTCGAATGTTGACAATGACGAACTTCCATACAACCGTTATTCCCTTATTTTCCCCCTTAAGGGTGTTTCCTAAAAATCCTTCATTAGTGTCGGATTACAACATAAAACGCGTCAGTTAGCAACATTTCAAGTTTGTAACCCCAGCGGTCTAGGCTATGCATTGATGAATCGCTTAGTCAGAGAGAGTAATTTTACATGTTTTGGGTTATTAGTGCAGTATTTTGTGGTGATAGCATCCGCATACTTAATTAAATGACACATACTGCGACACAAAAATATGTTATTTGCAGTGCAGCGACGAATAAATAGACAGAACTTTATCCGTGTGTCTGACTAAGATAGCAGAGCCGATTATCTGAGTAAGTAATAGTGTATTTGTCATAATGTTGTAAACAAATATTTAGTATAACGTTTGATAAGGTATTCAATTCATGTTGAAGTCGGGTTTTGAGTATTGACATGCAGATCAAATCGAAACTAGTATAAATAATTGCAAATGCTTGTTTATTTACTTTTTTTTACCTTTTTCCGCCTTAACAACTCATTGACGTCCATTGGAGTGAATATACAGGCAAAATTTAGTAGTCAATATTATATGTATAATTTAATTTTTTATCATTTATCATAAAAATTACAAAACTAATTGTCTTCACGGTATATTTACGTGTAAATTAAGAACAGCAAACACGAGCAGTTTATTCTGAGCAGATTTGTGCTAAAATTTAAGCTGTCTGATTGCTACAACAATTCCAGCTATCAGAATATCATTATTTACCCTGTAGTGTAGTGGAACTAGCTTGTCGGGCGGTCAGTGCTTCTGAAGGCGACGAGGGATAGCACTATCAGTGTGCATAGGATTCTATTATTATTGTAATTATAGTTATAAACAGAATGCGGTTAGCATTAAGTGTCGGTATGATTATAAACTTATCTGTATACATATAATTATAGCTTAGTAATGCTAAAAATAAGTTGCAGTTCGTTTTTAATGCTAAAAATACACGCTTTAATTTGAACTGCATTGAAAAGTGTAAAAGATTTCCAATATCTACTTCCTGGCTTCATTACCAACTGGACTCCTCCAAAAGTATGACACGAGTTCAAATTCGAGAGATTTATTAGGTGCCGCTAAAAGAGTTCTTTCTACCTCTTAACTTTGTCATCTGATCAACTCCAATCATCATTAGCGATTTAGTGTGGCCTATGTTTATTAGTGGACTAGCCACTGCTGAACATAGGCCTTTTATTATAAAGGAGATTTTGGCCTACTCTACCACTCCGGCCAGACGGGTTGGTAAAGGGTTTATTTCAAGCAAGTTTTTATTTCAAGTTTTCCTTCTCTTTTCAGTGCTATTGTCCTGCGTAGTTTACTCCCTTAGTCGCATCTCACGACACCCACGGGATGAATTGGGGTGGTGACACTCTGCATTCTTAATCCGTCACCACAGGGATCAATACGTCAATACAAGGATCGATCAATCCAAGACGTTACAATATGATCGATCAACTCCAAGATGCCACATTTATTAAGAGCTTGTTAAAATGTTTTTTATTTTATTTTAATGAGGTTGCGAGACTTTCGGGCTGATACGAACTTCAAGCTTTCATGAAAAAAGCACACTCCCACTTATTACTTTTGAGTAGCAGGAATCTATATACGGCGATATTCACTCAGGTGTCATATCAGGTCACGACCAGTTCATTTGCCCCCCATTTCAGATAAAATAACAATATTCTTTTCGATATTTAATGCATTGTTACAATAAACTATAAGTATTTGAATGAGCAGAAGAGTTCGTGTGGTGACGAAATAGGAATACGTAGTTTCACTACCACTGTGCATCCGTGGGTGTCGTAAGAGCCGACTTAGGGAGCAAATTAACAACAGCACTACAAAAAGAAGGAAAACTTTAAACAAACCCTATACCAACTCGTCTGGCCAGCGAGGCATAGAAGGCCAAACGATCCTTTCTAAGAAGAGGCCTTTGTCCAGCAGTGGACTGTTAAAGGCTGTTGAAGAAAAAGAATACACTATGTTTATACAAAACGATAATTAGAATTTTAACTATACAGTATTTTTACTTTCTAGAAAAAATGGCGATTATAAAAGTACTCGTAGTTATCGTGAAGTCAATGCAATATCTCTTTATATGTATGTTAGACATTAAAATCCATATAAATCGTAATAATAAGACACTAGAAGTGGCATAGACGCTTGAACTTGTCGCCGCAATGATGTGTAGATGATCACCACTCACAGAAATTCACAACATTCGCGATTTAGTTACGCGGAGCGTCGTATGTGAATTTATATTGTTAAAATGACGAACTGCAGCGTGATGGGTTGTGAAAACGCATCAGGGACGTGTAATTCAATTAATAAAGGCATAACATTTCATCGATAAGTTTATTTTTTTTAATAAATCTTTGTTTTTACTAATTTACATCTCTATGAATCCATCAATAAGATATCTGCCTTTGTAAACATTTATTTATTACTTTTCGTTTTGTACAATTGCCATTGCTGCTTTGGTTCTTATTGCACACGATGTTGGCAAACTAGCCAAGCAATGTAATGTGACGCATTAGATATCGTTGTTGGTTGCGTATGTTTATAATACGGCTGCAGGCATCGGTCGCCAGTTAGTGATGTGACCGTTCCATTCATTTGAATGAAAGTACAGTTTATATCGATGTTAGTATAAAAGGATATTTTTCAGATTTTCGAACGTAAAAAAAAACAATATATGCAGGTAACATATTCTTAATTTAAATTATAAAATAATTTCTTTAGGAATTTCATTATTTGTTTAAGTTTGCGTATTAAAGTCTATGAATGTTTAGCATGAATAAATGAAATGTTATCTTTTAAGATCTGTTTGGTTTTTAATCACTTTTTATTCATCAGATTTTAATGTTTAATTATGTTAATAACGCCATCTAGATTCAAACTAAGCAGAGCTTGTACTATGAAAGCTAGATTGACTGATAGACTACTTGTTTACTTTCTTATGTAAATACATACATGTTATACATAGAGAACACCCGAACCCAGAAACAAATATTTTAGATTATACAAACATTTAGTCCGACCCGAGAATCGAACCCGACAACTCAGCACAGCAGTTGCATAAACTACCACTGCGCCACCGACGTAGTGTTGTTCTTGCAATTGTTTTATAAGTGTACACTGTAACCTGGACTCATGAAGTATTTTAACTGTTGTTTTTAAATAACATGGTACATCTGTCACATAACCTCATCTAGTTTCAAACTAAGCAAAGCATGTACTATGAAAACTAAATTGACTGATAGAATACTTATATACTTTTTTGTAAATACGTACATATTATATATAGAAAACACCCAAACTCGGAAACTAATATTATTATTATTATAATAAGAACCATTCATTTATAGGTATCATTACTGTCAAAATATTAAAAAAGTAGTATATATTCATGGTTTCTATTGCTACTTGTAATCCATTTTATTTTATTGTTTTAAAAAATATATCGACAAATGTGTCGATATTTTTTTTCGAAAAATTTAGTCAATCCTTAGCATTGTTTACAGGGATTCACATACATCTTAGGAGATTGTAGTGGTGTCACATAATACATTGGAGTAAAATGCAACGTAATTCCTGCAGATTTAGGTTTATAATAGTTTGTGCCCTATACATTTCACCGTTGTTTTGCAAGTGTGTGCGAGTCTTAAACCTATTTGTTTGTATTTTGTGTATGTTTTAAGATGTGGCGACATCTGTTTAGGAAGTAATCGAGCGCTAATTCATTTCTAGTGTCTTATTATTACGATTTCTGTGTCAAAATGCGTTGCGTGATTTAGGAGGGTTCAGCAGACGTACGGAGAGGGGCGTAAAGCGACTTTGCTTTATACTATGTAAAGATATGTAAATATACTCAATATAAATATAAAAATCAAGTGCCGTTTCAATGTAATAACTTTAAAAGGTATAGGTGTATAACATTGTCGTTCGACGCTAACGACAATGTTGCATTATATTGTGTCAAGTACATATATATGGACAGTGTTGGCCATTAAATTACGATGTAAACAAGTTGATTGACCAGTGCTATGTAAAACAGACTGTCTGAATGATTACTTCAGACCGCCACTTATAAGTAAGCACTAAAAGTATTCATCATGAGACCCGTCTGCTAATTGGCCCCCCTATAAAGAAAATGATTGTAAAAATAAATTAAGTAATAAATATTTTCCTAATTTAAAAATACCAAAAAGTTCCTAAATACATAAGGTGTATGTTGGTAAAACATTAAAATAGATATGCCTTTTGAGAAAATCGCAGACATAAAAACATTCATACAAACACATAAGTCAAACCCAGAACATTATTTTGAGTGTTTTGGCAAGAAAAAAATTCGAGCGCACAGCTGTTTGATCCATGTTACGAAACTTCAATTAACTATCCATTCGACTAGATCAAGTGCTCTCAGAAGGGACCCGACCATATCTTTAAACAGGCACTGGATTGTAATTCTCAACGAAAAGGCAAGCGTGGTCGTCAAACTTGATGACAAACAGCAAGAACAAATAGCAAGAAAGGCGAAAAAGATCAGGAGGCATGGAGCGAAATTAAATGCAAGGCTCAAGACCGATCGCAGTGGAGGTGTACATCCAGGGGACATAGGAGATTAGGTCAAGTCCCACTTAGATAATCCGTATTGATAATATTAAAATTTGAAGTTTGATCTTAATTTTATAATAACAGTCTAGTAAACATGTCCGTGTGGTGACAGATTAATAATACAGAGTGTCATCCCGTGGGTGTCGTAAGAGCCGACTAAGGGAACAAACCCCGCAAGACAACAGCATTGCAAAGAGAAGGGAAACTTAAAACAAACGCTATGCCAACCCGTCTGGCCAGCGTGTTTATAGTAGACCAAAACCTCCTTTTTAAGAAGAGGCCTATGTCCAACAGTAGACTATTAAAGGCTGTCGATGACGATTGGAGTTGATCAGGTGACAAAGTTAAGAGGTAGAACTCTTTTAGCGGCTCCTAATAAATCTCTCGAATTTGGACTTGTGTCATACTTTTCGAGGAGTCCAGTCTCAGCTTAGTAATGAAGCCAGGAAGTGGATATTGGAAATCTTTTACACTTTTTAATGCAGTCAAAATTAATGCGTTAAAAAAGAACAAAAAAAAGAAACTGCAACTTATTTTTAGCATTACTAAGCCATAATTATATGTATACAGATAAGTTTATAATCATACTGACACTTAATGCTAACCGCATTCTGTTTATAACTATAATTACAATAATAATAGAATCTTATGCACACTGATAGTGCTATCCCTCGTCGCCTTCAGAAGCACTGACCGAAGCTAGTTCCACTAGCAGGGTTGTTGAAGAGTAATATTCTGATAGCTGGAATTGTTGCAGCAATCAGGCAGCATAAATTTCAGCACAAATCTGCTCAGAATAAACTGTGTCTGCTATTCTCTATTTACACGTAATTATACCGTGAAGACAAAATCTTTTGTAATTTTTATGTTTTTGTAAATGTTTACAATTGCTGTAATTTGTAATTGTTTATTAGATAAAATACATTGTAAGATCTGTACGATGTGTTTACAATATTATAAGGTAAGTATTTAGCCAGCTGTTATCGGTATTTTATCAATTACGCAGTGACTAAACTATAGAGTAAATTATCTATATATAGTATATATATATATACACTATATATAGTATACTATGTATAGTGTATGTATTATATACTATAATGTGTGTGTGTATTATATATTATAATATTAGTAGTAAGTTTATCTTCAAAACATATATTTGTATTTCTAAAACTGTTCCCAGTTGTAGCCTTACGCAGAGTTCCATCGAGTATACGAGTACAGTAACGTAATTAGTGATACCATAATACTCAAAGTATTCTCAATAACAGTCACAGGTGAAAGTGGCTGAAGGACCAAGCGAGCCTCGTGACGCAATACATGATCTTTAGAACTATGTGACTCCGACGAGAAATCTGATACAGTCTATCTGCCTTGAGTGCCTGTGCGTCAGCTGATCGGAGGCGAGGGGATGGTACACATTCCTAGTATTTTAAAACAACTGCAACCCTTCAGCGTGTTCACGACAATGGATCTTGTAAAACGCCTGATGGTAGCTTAGCAAGTCGAAAATCATTCAAGATCCAAAGTTGGTGAATGTGAGAGGTGTGCGGCCCGCGGGGCGGAGGAGGGACGTCGCGTCAGATTCGCGAGGAGGCTTCCGCGGGCGGGGTCAGCGACCTCACCCCCCGCGCGCCGGCGCGCCCGCCAATGTCAGGGCCGGTGCAGCCGCGGTCAGCTGACGTCTGGCGACGCGCGGGGGACGCGCCGCCGACTCCGAGCTGCAGTCGACACTCGACCGGCCACCGAGTCGCACGCTCTTCGTGCTCGGCACCGACACTCGCGCTATAAATAGGAGCAGGCGATGGCGGCGCGCGCTACTCCGGCGCCGGGGCTGTGCTCTAGAGTCAGGTACCTGAAGTAGCGCGCGTCGACAAGCCACAACCTCACGAACACCAGCCGCAGCACTCGCCCTGCACCGCCGCACGCCCATTGTACTTCATCAGGTGCTCTGGTGATGAAGGTTCCAGGCGCTTGTTGTAGTACACTTACCGTGTCGGCGGTTGTCTTCGGGCAGGAATCGAACAGTGTCCGCTGCTGCACGTGGAGAGTGTCAGCACGTGGTGCAGGTGAGTAGCCGGAGACAAAGAGTGGAGAGTGGCGGTGAGTCACGCGTTAATCACGGCGCCGGTTGTCGACCGCTGCAGGCTGCACGCTCCGCCCCCGCGCCCTCGCGCAAGCCCCACCCCGCACGCTTCGCGACACCCGCGCCACCCTCGCACCTAAAATCGCACACGTACATTTGCATTGGTCATCGAACTCCCAAAGATATGAACAAAAGCAGCTCAAACTGGTTTTCGCATGTTTTTCGATAGTCGCACACCAGAGCCGTTTTGCTGTCTGGCCCGGCGACCCTGTGACAAGCTTAGACTGTATTGGGAATGTTTTCAGAAGAACGGCCGCAAAATGTATGTTTGCGACCGATACAAGACAATTCGACTCAAAACCTGTATATAAACGCTAAGTCAGGAGAGGTCGATGTCGCCTATGTCGTCAGACGCACTGACAAAGCGTCATAGGTAGATAATGATAGGACTCACTTGTTTCGTATTACAATCATAATAATTGTTAACTAGCAGAAATGTTTGTGACGTCACGCGGCGCGTTAATATTTTCCACCGGTGACTTTACCAAGGTGATTTCGAAACGTTTATTGCCTTAATTTCGAGTGCGAGCCGACTCCGCGGCGATGGCCTCATGAAAACGGTACGAAACGCGACTGTATGTATCGCTAATTAGAGATCCAAGTATGTGCAAATCCAAGTAAATATATGTTTGTCGAGATATAATAATGCAAACAGCCAATAAAAATACGAGTCTCGGTTGGATGACTCACAGGAATGCGTCTAATTATTGAAGTGAACACAAAGAATTAATCGTGTTAGATTTCAAATTATAGTGAAACGCTATCGCGTTGCTTTTATACATAACACGTACATATATTGCCTTCGCAATGTATCACGCGAAACGATTCTAGAAAATGGTCAATGTCTTACACAAGATAAAACGCAATCAATTGCTTCAAATTTAAAATAAAGTACTTAGAAATAATTATTTGTTGAGAATGAAAATTTTCATAAAATTCTACAGATTTTCCCAATGATGCACGTAAAATGTTATATCTTAATATACGAGGTTTTTCAGCCTTTCAGAAATATTTTTGGTGGACGATACACTCTGTCCAGCAAAAGACATAGCTGTTTTTGTATAGAAATTTCTTTAAATTGGTAGAAACTAGAATGATGATTTGTTGAGAACAAATGTATTTAGTAGTCAATAGGCACTTTTATAGGACCTTGTAGAGACAATGACAGTACCAAACGGGTCTAGATGACGGCGTTCCAGTCATTCTGTGACTCAGAGTCTTGCTCAAAAGACGAATGCTGAATTTCTGAGTCAGAGGCGCTTCGAGTTTCCTTATCCTTTTAATTATGAATAGAATTCCAGAAGCAACTCTTAACTGGAATTTGTTTAATCATGTGTTTTTATATTTATGAAATTATATTGAATGCAATAAAATGTAATTATTTTTTTAGTGTATCGTCTTTTGTTTAGCGTACTAAATTATGAGTAAATAAGAACATCGTTTTGAATACGTGATTGTTTATAATGAAATGCTGTCTTATAAGATTCTTAGAGGTCGAACAAATTGTCATTTCGGATTTTTTAGAGGTCGAATCCAGTGAACCGCGCGAATAATGAATTAGATTTATAAAGGAATGCAATCAAAATCTTTGGTTACAATTCTTTTTGTAATTGAATGTATCACTTATTGCGCACTTGCAGAAACTACATTTATGAATATACAGTAAATATACACAGTAATATACAGTAAATGTATATATTAAAATAAATGATTGTTTGTTAAGGCTGAAATGTTCGTAGTTTTATATTTCTGAGTTTTTCTTTGCCTCCGTAGCTCCGAAACGGCTTGATATAGTTCCTGTTTTTTTTAGCCGGTTAAATTGGTTTGGTTCTCAGGAATATTTAATAACAATAACAATAATAACTCAAGGCATCTCATACACTGCAGTCTGATCGTAAAATAAACCTGTACTATGGTTAGAAGATAACAGAACACCCTAATATATTTTTATCAATATATGTTCTAAAGATACATCGCATCCAGATACAAAACAAAATGATTGCGCATATTAGACAATTATTTGTCCTAGTTGAGAATTGGATACCCTGCCTCAGGCCAGCAGTCAGGATTTCTGACTACTCGACCAATAGGCGTGTCATTTAAATGAAGTGTTGTCTGTCATGTGTATTTTATGATATTGTTTCATGACCATCCAAAGAAAAACATCTGATAAGAATCCAATCGACGGGTCATTTGGTCTAGTAGATAGTGAATTCTGACTGCTAGGCAGAGGTCGTGGGTGCGACTCCCACCCAGGACAAATAATAGTGTGATGAGCAAGATTATCCATATAAATGTACTTGTATATCTATGTATGTGTATCTATGTGTATTTATGACGTGTAGTGTTGTATGTGTGTATATGTTTATGTATGTAGTGAACCGTATATATTTTTATTGAACACTTGATATTATGACGTAACCTCTGTGCACCTATCTTACAAGATTTCCACACTCTCAAAGGTTGAATGAAAGAGAATGCCCTGGGCATTAAGTCCGCCGATGTACAATAGTGCATAAAGTTAAATAACTAAATAAATAAAAAATATTTGTTTTGTGTCTAGGTGTAATTTATTTTTAATATGTATATGTCTAGAAATATATAAGTATGTTTATTAGCAGTCTGTTTACCATTGTATAGACTCTGCCTAGTTTAGGATGACGGCGGTGTTATTAGGCGACGGATAGATAGTGTTTTGGACACTTACTTCAAACATATATTTAAACACTTTAAAATTGTATTGTTTGTAACGTACATATTTCCTTGGGTCAAAGAGTGGACTAAAGAGTACCAAAGTATAGTGGGCTAATTCCAGCCACAGGTTTATTTTAAACTATTTTAAATAACATCCCTGTTACCGTTGCTTTTAGAAACAATTTTAAAATTGACTTTTCAACTTAAGCCTTTAAGACAAAGCCTATTTAGAATGACTTTATTCTTCTTGTGTTAAAATTAAAACATTGCTCTACTATATAAATTATCGTCTGTCAATTAGGCCCATAGACTTTTGTACCTTGAGGGGTTAAAATATATACTGGACCATAGCTTTATGTTTTAACTTTATAATACGTAAACCCTAAACCTATACCTGGTTCACAATTCCCAGGCGTTGTCGAAGTCGCATTTGTTGCCCCAATCTATCACGCTATGGACCCGACACCCGCTCGGTGAATCCATGGAACGCTAAGAAATAGGTCTATTGACTGCGCTCTGCACATCTAAATATAAACTTCCAAGCATTCTAAATTCTATTTTCATTTTGAATAAAATCAAATTTGCTCCGAAATCATCAAAAATAAATCTCTTCACGTATATCTGGTTAGTTTGGTTTACATCTAGCCGGGGATGTATATTCCTAAGGGTTATAATTGTCAATGGGAGTTCCATTAGTGACTTCAAAAAAGCTGGAGAATTTATTCTCCTGAATATTTTCATTATGAAAGTAACTTTCCATTTTAAAGTCACTTTTTGTTTATTTAACGGTAGTTTATGTCAAGATAACGTTTCCTTTAATTCCAAAGGTGTGACACCCGTCACGTCCACCACGAACACGTATGATCACCGAGAATTCAAGTCATTAAAATATCTTGATAACTTGGAACCATAGATATGTAAGGTATTTCATATAAATCTACGGTTAATAGTATTGTGAGGTACTCGTGAGCATTTTTTTTTTGAGATTTTGCGGAAATTAGACCATTTTGTTTGACTTGATTGCTTTTACCAATGTAGATCATTACGATTTTCCTATACCTTAGGATCCGTAAACAACAATTCCTGAAAAAAGTTAATATGAAAAATAGATTTATAACATTTTATTAAAAAATCATAAAAATGACATAATTGGATGTCGTTTAAAACATCTCAAATATTTTAAAATCCATGTTCCAATAAAATCGGCATCAAAAGCAATTTTTCCTTTCCGCCCCTTTCAGCATCATCTACATGGTGATTCTTTGTTATCCACCTATATTGTTGTTATACGGGGCCTAATAGAGAACAGCCTATGATCCATACTTAACCCACGCAATTTTTTTTAATATAAAAATAATAATATTCGTATCTACTTAAGAGTTCTGAAGGTTACATCGTATTCGTAATAAACCACTAAACAAAACCACAACTGTCTGTCTGTTTATCGGGCAGACAATAAAATCGTTCAATATAGAAAATCGCATCGCAACTAACTTAAATTGTTATGATTCATTAAAATTAGATTTAATTCGTTGAAATTATTTCTGTAAATATATAATGACCAGCTTTGTCCCGCGACTTCGCTCACGTTGATGACAATTTTCAGGATAATGTAGCCTGTGTATAAGATCCGTGAAGACTACTTGACGGTCAGAGGTCGTGGGTTCGATTCCCATCCAGGATAAATAATTATGTGAAGAGCACGAAGTCAGGCGATTCAAAGGTATATAAATACCTATTAATCGCAAGAATTCCCGAAGTAATAATTATGTTGAGGAAAGGGTAGGGCCCTCCAATACAAAGAGAGGATCCTCCGACCGGGCAGCTGCCCATCGGTTTGACCGCACGGATGACGTAGTGGTTTCAACGGTCGCCGCGCCGCTTACTACTACGCTGAGTGTTGTGGGTTCGATCCCCACATGGGACGACACTTTGTGTGATCCACAAATTGTTGTTCTGAGTCTGGGTGTTCTTTGTGCCCGTTTCATGTATGTTTTTTAAAGTCCCTGGATAAAAATATTTTCCGGAGTTGTCTTTTTAAAAAAGAAAAAAAAAATGTCGGGAGGTTGTACCAGTCAGCCATAAAACTTTTT